TTGTAATTTTCTAGAATAAAACGCTGCAATTCATAATGCAAAAAACTTGTTTAAGATAACAAATGCTATCTAACATGACTTTAATTTTCAATATCATGCACGGAAAATTGACCGAAAATAAGTGGCCACTCATCACCTTACGTCTCTCCAAATAAGTGCCACTTCAATCTGAGGAGTGCTTTGAAGAGGAAGAGCTTGTGTGCGCTTCTGAGTTTCACATTCAAATTGTCCGCTCAGCACTTCTTCAGCTACTTGTAAGCGTGCAAGATCGAGCTCGGAAGAGACACCATCAGAAATTTCTGAGGGTGCTATGATTGATTGTACAACCTAAGTACATAGATAGATGAAGAGGGTGTTAAATCTCCCTTGTATTAGTAGCAACTGTTTGAGAATAGTAGAATAAAATAGCGAATAATAAACTCTCAACACATTCCACTAACTCTTTTTTCTGATTTTACCTCACTTTCTTCGCTAGGTTGCCCCATGGTAAGATTAGGTACAACTAAACGAATCCCAGCTGCTTCAGCCTGAAACAGAAAAACAGGCAAAAATGTACGAAATCACCATAAAAAATGAATAATCACTGTGCTGATGACTTACTTCCCTCACAAGTTTAGCTTTCTTGAGCCCTGCTATGAAAAGGTTTAAGATGTTGCGGTCAAGCCATCGAACGAACATTTTCCCAATAGGTTCGAAAGCGTTTTTTGACTCGAACTTTGCGTACATTGCCTTGAGAAAAATCCATATTGCTTTTCATAAAGGTGTTGAGATACTGTATTCTCAACTCAAACCATTTTAGAGATAGATGTTTTGGAAAAATGATTTGCGAAGACCCCTTGCCTTTAGTGCTTCGTTGCAGCCGGTTTCAATGTGTATAATTAATGTTTCCGGCAGAGCTTCATTCTCGCTAGGAACCTCAACCGAGGGCATCTCAATAGGATGACCAGCCTTGAAACTTATAGAGAACTTTATGGAGCGGACATCGAAAACCTGAGATATGCAATTCTTTTTTCAAAGCAGCATCAACAACCAGACTTACCCAATCTGGATCACTAATTTGATAACTGAAGACGATAGTGTCAGATTGATTATAAACGCACTTTGGAAATCTAAAAGAGGCAAGGCACAAAGCCAGAGAACAATGATGCTGCATATTCAATAACTAACCTTCTCTTGAAAAACCGGATATCGTGATTCTTTGCATCCAACTGTGTCTGTTCGCCTATTTGCTCTTTCTTAACAAAAATTCTGATAGGAACAAAACGAGCTGAAGGTACATTCGTAGGAGCACTCTTAGGCGCAGCGGATACATCACACGATTTGAATGAAACATCTGCGGAGCCTTGATTTTCCTCCTCAAAGGTAAAGTTTAGGAGATACTTGAATGCGAACTTATTGTGCTACAAAAGGTGTGAAAGCTCAAAATTACGTTAAAAAAATCAAGGACGAGACCAACCTCAGGTTTGTTGGCGGTGCGTTTCTTTGTATGCCTAAATGGGCACGTATCTCCTAGCTTGCAACCTTTGGGAGTATTAAAATATCGACAAGGTCTTGGCCTTTTCCCCTGAGTACGCTTTAAAACAGTGGCCGAGTGCACAGCCACTTCGGCAGGAGTCCCTGAATATGCAGATGGAGAAAAATTGTCTGGAATCTTAGGTGATGTCAAAAGTTCAAAAACAAATTTTTAAAGGAATGAAAGCGTCAATCAAAAAACCTCATTATACATACAGAATCGCTGCTACTCTGAAGCACTTACTTCGAAATGTCAAAAACTTATTGTCAGCGAAAGAAAACTGCAGAGTTAGTTGAATACAGCGCAAAGATATGACAGGTGTGCTTGCATGCGATAAGACTATGGCAGCCTTGGGCAAGAGCAGATGTCCGTTATATCTTAGTCTCATATCTACTCTTTCAAGAGCGAACTCTGTCAAGTGGTATAATAACATGATAGCTGTTATTTGCTATGGTACTTGTTCTTAAGCTACATTTTTGATACAAGATCTTTATGGCAATCGTTTAAAGAAAACCTCAAAGTAAGTAAAAGTTGTAGTGACTACTGCAAAAGAGAACTGAAAAATTATTTATCAGCTGTTAGATTCTGTTCTTTTATCTTCAGAT